TATGGTATAATTCGAAGATCTCAGAGCAAGATAATTCAATGAGAAAAGGACAGGATCAGAGTTGTTAGAATTTAGGACAACATGGTTTAACTCCTCCTAGCTAGCCAACTAGATGTGCTCGTCTATGCCTTAAATGGGATGGGGAGCTGGGTACCAAGTGATGGGGTTTAGGTGCAGATATGTATACTGCACCGATTTGGTATTTTGATTTTATTTTATATTTTCTTTAGTTGGACTTAGAGGTATTTTACTGGTTAGTTTGATTAGGTGATTGTTTCGAGGCGTGAAATGTAAACTAAGCGTCTAATGAAATGATACCTAGTCTTAGTAAAACAAAAAATAATCTAGACCGAAGTAGTGAGTGATTAGAGCGGAGCCTATAGACAATAGTCTCAGTCTGAAATTCCCTAATCCTTTGCTCATTACCAAGGGCTGAAGCTAAACTTATTTAACATTTTGTATTTTAACATTTTAACGTACTGTATTAATAACGTAAACGTCTTGGTATCGTATAGTCAGCCTAGAGGAGACCAAGTCTTGCAAATGTCTCGCCACTAATTTAATGACAAAGAATTAGTTAGGTTGTTGGAAAGGACGTGTGAATGTATTGAGCTTGTATGCAATGCATGCTTTCATTTCTTCTTCGCTTTGAACTGCATTGATATAATAGCAATAGTATTTCTGATACGATTAATGATATAGAATCAATCAGATCGGAAAGCAGACATACCATCAAGCATTATTTATACATATTTTGCATTTGCACGCATGCGCATGCGCATTATCAGCTTACCTTGATGTTACCAGTTATGGCTCCATTGATGCTCTCTCTTCTCTCTCCCCCCGTAAAGTTTGCTGTATGTAGCCAGATCAATTTCATAAATTTAGCATTATTTCATAGCAAACATCAGAAAGGCTACTGACACAAATACAGCTTATTTCACAAGATACCTCAGTTATCAGCTACGTATGCGATATACGATGCTAAAAAAAGAGTATTATTTTTCGCTCGTCTATATACACGTTAATTTATTTATTAATTTATTACCTACATCTTTCCCGCTCTTTCCAACAGATCAATAAAAACATACTACCTTTTTATAGTAAGAAGTGTACGAGAGAGGGGCGTTCAACTTGGAGGGGGGCGAGAGAGGGGCGCTTAACTTAGAGGTGGGCGAGAAAGGGACGCTTAATTGGGGGAGGCGAGAGAAGGGCGCTTAACTTGGAGGGAGGCGAGAGCGGGGCGCTTAATTGGCGAGAGGCGAGAGCGGGACGCTTACCAGAGGGAGTCTTTACTGGACGCTTAACAGCCGTAGTCTTAACGGGACGCGTAACAGCCGTAGTCTTAAGAGTTAGTCATACCAGCCGTATTCTTAAGAGTTAGTCATACCAGCCGTAGTCTTAAGAGTCCCCGCTAAAATCACGCTAATTAAATCTTTAAAAAAGCAAAGTAAACTCGAGAAAGTATAAGTATGAGACTGGTAGGAAACTGGGCCTGAGGTGGTTTATATAATTTTATTGTCACCGGTGCCGTATAAAGACATGCGTCCGAGAGTCTACGACTTCAACATTTTACCAGTAGTTGCTTTTTTAAAACCCCCCAATATTTTAACTGTAAATAAACTAATATGGATTTTAAACAAGTTCGAACCCTCGTCCTCGAGTCGAGTCCTCGACTTTGGGTCTTTGAAGGCTCGACGAGACAAGACAAGAGACTCGAGACTGCTCTCTTCTTCGACTTTCGAGTTTCGAATCCTGCGCGAAAAAAACTAACTTTTCTGTTTTGTAATTTTTGAGAAGAAAAAAAGGTTAGCATTTTGTTGGTTGTTTTTGTGAGTTGCAGTTTTGCGCCCTCTGAAGTCTGAACTTCTGAAGTCTGAACTTTTTAACCTCCGCATTTTAAAAAGTTTTCCTTTTTTTTAAAAACTAAACAAATAGTAAATACTTTCCAACTATAAACTGAATACGAAGGAATTTTTGACTTTTAGTGTTTCGTTGAAAAAACGGTAATGTGTAGCAGTACATTTAAAACATCGTAGTGAAGCACATAAGTTTTAATAAAAACTACTCGAAGTTTTAAAATTGAGTGCCATTCCAAATATAACTCGACGCAATTTCGCTTGTATTTACTGTTTTGTGTAATTTATTTTTCTTTACTTTTTGTATAGCCTTCTGAAAATATCTTATTTAAAAATAGAACTTTTTTGGGGGCGTTGTTTTTTTGATACCCTGTGTATTTATGTACAGATGTATTTATGTACTGTATTTGTAAATATTTATTTATATACATAACAAAACAAAAAAGAAATATTTTGTTTTTTTATGAAAAATAAATAAATATACAGAGCCTACTACATAGAGTAAGCCTACTAAATAATAAATTTTTACTATAAAAATAAAGTTTATGGCAGAGTTGGAAAAATTAAAAAACCCCCCCCAAAAAAAGTTATGTTCAATTCATATTTATATGTATTTAAATATAAATATTTTCTTTGTACAGCGAGAGGGAGAGCCGGAGAGGTTCACGACTCGCGACTCAGGAGATGACTTCGGAGAATATATCGGATGAAGTGAACCCGCATGGATTCAGTTGCATCGCACTTAATTTACAATTACGTGTCCGTTGGTTAGTATCTCCTTTTTATTGTATTCGCATCAGTACACCATAGTCGTCTGTAGGATAACAGGAGTAAGTGGAGACATTATACTTTAACTAGATGAACCCAAACAAGGTTCGATAATATAGGCACATACTCACACTCACGACGCCTTTAACCTCGAAATATACAAGTTCACTCGCCATTAAATTTGTCATAGAATATACACCCTCCTGTTCTACTTAATCTCAGGGCTGGCACACATATTCGTATGAATTTTAATTGATACAAATATAACAATTACGCGAAAGTCGAACTATGCTTGTACACCGATTGCTAGCACTGTTTGTATCCGTGCACGCCTCGCTGTCTTTGTCTATCTCCGACACACAACAACGGCAACAACTTGAATATGATGGAGAGAGACAATATCGACAAGATACACCACTTTACGATAAATCACACGGCTCTTCTGTAAGCAGGAGGCAAGTATTATCTGAATGTGCCACCGAGCCTTGCAGACGTGGTACGTGTGTGGATGATGCGCAAGGATTCACTTGTATTTGTCCCGAAGGCTACAAGGGATATACATGTATCATAGAGATAGGCGGGCTTCTGGATGTACCGGACTTATCTCCAAGTCCATCTAGTACTCCATTGCCATCTCCTATAGCGATTCCGACTTCTATTCCAACTAAAACACCATCAGCAGCACCATCAGCATCGAGTCACCCTACACAAGCGCCATCGACCACGCCCAGCCCGCTACAGCTCGTAAAGGGAATCAATGTAACAATCGCAAAAACTGCGAAGATTGGGACAGGTGTTACAATTGGGGATGATGTGACAATTGAACAGGACGTCGAATTGGGCGACTATGTGGAGATTGCAAGTAATGTAATCCTGTATAGAAATACAAAGGCGGACAATTACGTAAGGATCGGTATTGATGTATCGGGTGAACCTAACTATCATTATCGACGAGCAGTTGGTGACGAACGCAGAGCTCTAACCATAATCGGGAACAATGTTAATCTTCAGACCGCCTCAACTGTCGCCGCCGGGGCTAGTGTTTGTATGTGTAGTTTTATACAAGGATTATGTATATTTAGGATTGCTCAGTTTTGTCCTCGCTAACTATTTGTTGTTATGCTTGCGCTGTATAAATAATGACAGTAAAAGTTGAAACGCAGACATTCAAATGCGCCTGCAAAGTGCTTGTATAATTTTTGCTTTAGAATTGTCGAGTTTTGTATGCGGCCTGCACCAATATTATTTTAACTGTATCTGCATCCTTGTACGTCACAACATGTGTGTAATATCTACACTGCAACGAAAAGGTATAGTTTGTTATACATGTTTTCGAATCTGATGATCGTGGTTGGGAGTAGCAGTAGCCGAACGGCCTCAAATTACATTCATGTGTGTAACCGTGAATGATGGCGCGTCAATATTTGACAGTATCTAGTCAGGCTTATAATTATGTACTTCATCAACCTTTATGTCACTGTATTTGCTGTGCTTGAATTTCAAAAATCGAGGTTTACAAAGTTCTTATCCCGTAATATGTGTCCAATGATGTCGTAGCCCCTGTGAGTATATTTGCACGTGTTATCAAAGGTATGCATATTGGGAACTTATTATCTATTTACCTTTTTCAACTTTTTTCCTTGCATACCTTCAGCTAGATACGCCACAATCGGAGAAAACTCTATCATAGGACCCTCGACTGTGTTGGCGCAGTATGTTGATGTGGGCGCAAATACAGTTGTGGGGAGCAATTGCTCTTTAGGATCTTTCACCACGATCGGCGAAGGCGTTGCGTTGGGCCCGCTATCGAAGGTCGATACAAAGGTTATCATTGCAGATAATGTCAATATCGAGGAGGAGTATGTGCTTTTTTTTCTCCTTCGGCTTTCTCAGGGAGGACTGTTAGGTGTTGCAGGCACGTGATGATATAGTAGCCTCGTTTGTGTGCATCTCCAAATTTACTGTACGAATATTATAGCGACTCGTTCAAGCTACCTGAAAATTTGTACTTGCAACCTGAGTCGCACACCTTGGTATGTGCTATGTTGATCACTTAAATCCTTTTTTGAAGACAGTGTGAATCGAAGGAAGATTACAATCTCACAGCATTTTAATACTTGCATCACTCTTTAGATTGACAATTGGGAGAGGCTCAACAATAGATATCAATTCGTTCGTAGGTGCGCGCAGCACCATCGGAGAATCGGTGACCCTTGGATCTGGTAGGTCGTACACGGTTGTGTGTGATATCTACCCTTTTTGATTTTTTTTCATGAGTTTTGGGCCGAGTTTGAAGTGTTGGGAAACTCAATTAATTCTGTACAAATTCAATAAGGGAGGAAACGAAAACTCTACCCAGCCCCCCCCCGGTGCAAGGTGGATTTCCCCCCCCACTAGATTATCGTTAATTGTCTTGAATAAACAAATTCCCATCGTACGCATTCTCTACTTTTCAGACGTTGCTGTGGGCCCGGATACCGTCATAAAGAACGGAGCAAAGGTGGAGAACAACGTAAAGCTGGGAACCGCAACAGTCGTCGGTGATAGTGTGGTGATACCATATCAGACGGTTGGCGCCGATGGGCAGCAGTTTGTCGACGACACTTCTGTCTCGAGTATGTGAATGTAGTTTTTGTTCTGACACTTCTGTCTCGAGTATGTGAATGCAATTGACGTTCTGTCCTGCTAGGTGTAAATGAACTCGCTGTTCTAGAATTGAATGTACTACTGGAATACCAGAATAGATTCCAGTGGCGTTTTTCGATTCAAATTCTTTGAATCTAGTGTTATCTACATCGCTTGCTATGAATGTGTGATCCGATGGCGCCGTGCTCTCATATCACATAGAGCGAAATACTCACCCAGCGTGCGGTATAGTCGAGTCTACCATGGTATGCATCTGATCTTTTTTTAACGTTTATTTGCTTTTACTTGTAATTGTTCTCTACTGCATTGTTGCGACGATTCTGGCTTGTACGCGTCTCACATTATGCCAGCAACCCTCTAATTTTTAACAGTCAAACCTTATAGAAGTAAAATACGTCGCTTACATTTAATTTCGTCGTACAAACAGTGACATCAATAGTCGGCGCAGTTACCGGTGTAGTCGCGGCCCTCTTGATTGTCGGGCTTGGCATCTGGTGCTTTTTTGAACGTCGCAAACAGCAGGATATCGACAGATGGACTGGCAAGAAATCTAGCGAATCTATCGACTGTGAGATTTTCGAGACTGAGGCTCCGGTCTCAGTATTGCGCAATGTACGCGCTACATAGTAAGTTGCCGGGTGTGTTTTTTTTATTTAATTCGTACATGCCCGTGGTAACAGTCTTTGACAGTACATGGTGAAACTTGTCATATCATTCGCTGCTGGTCGGGTATTCATGAGTTGTAGTATATAGATAGTTGAGTGGATAGATTTCAATGTGACCGGATGTTCAATACACGAGTGTGAATATAGCGTGTTGGTATTTGAAACGTCGTATATAATATAGAATGAATCCTAATTGGCTCACCGATCCATATGCTTGTCTCTTTCGTAAAGCACAAAGGACATTCCGATCAAACATCTCAACAAAGATCAGATAGTGGGATCTGGAACTTTTGGTCATGTATATCGCGGTTCGTTGAAGTATAACGGCGCGATAGTACCTGTTGCTATCAAGGTACGTGAGCTCGTAGCCGTGAATGTTATACAAGATGCATTTACAGTCATGCTTATATATATATATATATATATGCTTATATATATATATATATATATAATAGTTTGTGTGTGTGTGTGTGTGTGTGCGTGTGTATTACATATACATAAATAGAAGTATATCTGTATATCCACGTATAGGTATGAATGTATGTTTGTATGTATGTATGTATTCATATATTTACATAGATATAGATGTAAATGTAAATCTAGATACATATAGAATTTATATATATTCGTATAAATATACACTTAGTTATGTATTATGTATATATATATAGGGTTACTAGTTATAGATAAATTTATAGATTTATAGATCTATGACACATGTACAAGTATATATATATATATATTAGTTATTAATTATCAGTTACTAGTTATAGTTAGATTTATAGATTCATAATACACATGCATATCTATAATGTATATATGCATATATATATATATACATACATGCTATATTTATGTATGTATGTATACATGTATACAAATTTATATCCATATTTATGTATATAAATAAATTTCTGTATCCATGTGTATATATACATGTACATATGAAATCTCGAAGCCCACATACATGGATGTGCTGCCAAAATCCCCCCTGACATGCTATTATATTTGCTTTCGTTGTTAAACAGGAGCTTCGCGAAGCTGACGGAGATGCCGAAGAATCGCTCATGCGAGAGGTCGACTTGATGCGACGTTTGGATCATCCACATGTAATTTACATATTAGGTACGTTTTCTTCTATAGCCGATTGCACTAACGTGGCGCATCGTGTTCTTCGTCCTGTGTATATTATCGTGCATTATCTATCTTATACGTGTATGCAAAGCGTTCGTGTTTATTTAATATGCCGTATTTTACAAGTTGGCATAAACTGGTCAGCCTTTATTCTCCTCGTCATGTTCGCACCGTAAGTTACTGAATTTTTATTGAATTGAATGGTTGTCTTTATTGCAGGTATCACTAAGCGTGTAGAGGGATATATGCCATGTGTGGTCATGGAGTTTCTGCCACTCGGAAGTTTGCACGATTACCTTTCAGAGAGAAAGTCGCGAAACGAGAAGCTGCCAATAGCTGCGTTGTTGGCTTTGGCTCATCAGCTGGCACACGGTATAACTAGCACACTTTGTGTTTGTTCTTAGGATTCACGCTCGACTTCGTCATTGCGGACGATAAAATATATAGCTCCGAATATCTTGATCGTTTCCATAATCCTTAGGTAGAGTCTTCTGGTGGTGTATAGTAGCAGGCGTGTATAGAACGATGCTTATTTTTCACACTTGCAAGCGATTCATCATCGAAAGACTTTCACATTTTTGGCGGATCAATGGCACTAAACTCTTTCTCAATTGGTCACCGCTATCTATTATTTCATGATAGTATGTGTAAATTGAGTTCGCTGCGTTGCATTTGAAGGTGGTTGAGAATTTGATTTTGATATTCTTTTTTTTTTAAACTTTTTTCTTCACAGGTATGCTCTACCTTGGGTCGAAAAATGTTGTGCATCGCGATCTGGCGGCACGCAACTGTCTGCTCGCGCCACCGACTGAGGATTCACACGGCGTCCCGATATTGAAGGTGGGCGATTTCGGGATGTCTCTCGTTTTAGAGAAGGCTTTTGCGGCCGAGGATGCACAAGTGCGTCGCATATCAGTGGCAAACGTCTACTCTGAATCTGTAGAACCAGCAAGAAAACAGCTCTCGAGCACTATGTCAAGCAAGAAAGGGGGAAAGCGAGATAATGTGTTCGGCGCCGTTGAAGTGGACTCGGATATCGGATCAATGAAGTCATTGGATCTAATAAACAGCTATCACGACTCAGATAACGGAAGTGAGCGACACCTGGTGTCGAAGACTCCCTCTATGACCAGCACCGGTTCACGACCGCCGTACCAGAGCAACGCCGTCCGTTCTCGGACAAGCAGTCAGTCGGCGTTACACTCCGGGAATGTCGCGTACTCCCAACCAGCCACGGGGGCAGATCAGTCTCCTCTCCCAGCTCAGATGGTCCACGGCAAGATGCGACAACCCATCGGATCGCGGTCTTCGTTACGATCGGACGTGAGCGCACGCAATGCGTTGAGTCGGAACGAGTCGACCTCGTCCGTTGTCTCGGATTATGTTGCGGTGGTCGCGAGTCCCCACGGCAGCCTTGGGCCAAGCCTTGCATCTGCTAACAACCGTCACAAGTACTTGAATGTTACCACCGGGGGTGTGGAAGTGCCTAGAAGTAGTCTCAGTTCAGGGAGAGGGCCGCCACAAGCGAATCCCATGCCTAGATCTGGTTATAGCAATCTCATTCCATCGCCCGCCTCGGAGAAGGAACGTGCCAATCAACCGCCTTCGAACATGCGACGTGAGTGTTCTGCGTCTACGCAAAGTAAAGACAAAAGCCAAGCTGTGGGAGGTCGAGAAATGCGCAGGGCTCTCAGCAAGGACAATCTAGGCCCAAAGCACCATCAGAGCAGTGGCGTGGATGTGGAGGCGGCCATGACCCAGAGCGAGCAGAACGGGGGGACGGATTACACGCGCGTGATCATCAGTAATAGTGACGCCCTTCCCGCCGAGAGCATGAAAGAAGTCGGAGAGGTACCTAGTCCGGCACCACGACCACTGGCTGCACTGGTTGGGACTAGGAGTGAGGGATCTGGCGGTGCGACAGGCTCTGAAGGCAAAGGCAACGCCTTGGAATGGGCTATGACCTCACAGCCCAAGAAGCGGGCTGTGGGACTCGATATCAACTCCTTGGCGGAGTTGAGGAGTTTATCAAGAGGTCTGAACTCGGAGATGAACCGTTCGTTGGAAAGCGATCAGACGAGCACGGCGCTGGTGAGCAACAGCGAGAGCTTGTTGGAAGAGGATATAAAGAAAAGAGACTCTAAAGACGAGGCAAACAATATCGCTGCTCTACCCCTGCGCTGGATGGCGCCGGAGAGCATTGAAACCAAGGAGTTTACTACGATGTCTGATGTGTGGTCGTATGGGGTGGTAATGTGGGAGATGGCTACTTTGGGAGAGTTGCCGTACGGCAAGGCGGATGTGCACGAGGTGGTTGCGAACATACAGAGAGGAAAGCGTCTAGAACGCCCGCTCTCGTGTCCGGAGGCTGTTTTCGACATTATGCGCGCTTGTTGGAGCGAGAGGCCCGAGAATAGACCCGAGTTCGGCCTGATCGTCGAGTTGCTGGGAGATATTCTTGTCGATACAGTGCGCCGCACCTTGACGAAAACTAGTAGCGTGGGTTTGGGTGCGGGTGCGAATAGAGTCGATCGTTTAAGACGGACTCTGACCAACGCAAACAGCAAAGTGCTGACACATGGGGTTCCGAACAATGGGTACACAAACACATTGCCAGAAGCAGAGTCTGCTGGAATGACCCTGAATTCTGTTACGGAAATCTAAACCGGTGGTTGTACTTCTGAACTACGAATACGTAAACATTAGAATGGCGTTTGTATCCACTCTATAGTTATGCTTAACACCTACATCTAGCATCAGGTTAAGGCCCAAGTCGCGGAAGGTTTGACGTGTCGAAGGAGCTGCGGATGTGCCTGTATATAATTTTAGTTAGTCACGTCTATGCGTCACATTATAACCCCGTGAGTATGTGCCACTACTGGGTTTGTGAGACATCAGGTTTCGACATATAGCAATCACACAAATCCACCAAAACGAGTCCTTGCGACATTTTTTTTGGCCTGCTCTACATGACCAACGAATCGTGATAGGCGCCCCTGCTAGTTGCGTGGCCAAATCGTGAAGTTTGGACATCAAATAGCGAAATATTCGCGTTATTAGTACTCTAAAAAAATTTGTATAGGACGCTATTTGAACATTCCGATTGGAATATGTAGTTCAAAATAGATTTAAAGTGGATTGTGCATTAAAAATCGCACACTTAAAGTTGCTACTATTATACATACAATCGACAAGCAGGTCCATATCATTGAACCAAAAATTATTAAAACAAATATTTCAAAAGTTTTTGAACCCTACGACAATACTAAAACCGATCCGCACGGTTTGCGTTTCAAACACAACTTACATCTTGCAGTGTATATCGATCGTGACATTCCTTTGATTCTGTCCAAATTTAAAAAATCGGTAACGAAGACGAGCACATACATCTATAGAAGTTCTAAAATATGATGAGTTTGTGTATACAATGTTCGTTGTCTATCAATTCATAGAAGTTTTGTGGAATGCCATATATATAT